ATATAATATTATAATACGTAGAATTATAATAATATATAAAAAATAAAGAAAATCGAGAAAATAATAAAGTAAAGGTGCAAACTAGATTATTTTTTTTGTTGCGTAATAGCGATTTAGTTAGTGAATTTTTGAATTAGGATACCGTGAGGTTAATCCAGATGAGCACCCCTCTATTTCTGTAAAAAGTTTTTTCAAGAGATATCGTTTCTTTACTATTAATAATTATTGTTATTATTTTGGTGTTCTATATGCGTATCGAGCTTTAAAAAATCGGGTACAAATTCATTTGTCAGAAATATTGCTTTAAACATATAAAAATCGAGTAATTGTAAAGAATAACAAAAAATTTTGTTTAACAGACACACGCAATTTGGGCTAAAATTAATGACAGATTTCTTGTTATTTTGTCATAAGAGACAACTGTAAAAATTTTGAGAAAAATCGGCGTCTGACATTTCTTAAGGTTTACTTGTAAGCAGAATCGTAAGACTTGAATGCGTTCTCGTAAAATTTATAAGAATTTATGACTATTATTCTAATTTTATATGTATATATTGTATGATTATGAGTAAATACCTACGATTTTTTTGTAAATTTTATGGCTAGTAAAAAGCTATCTGCGAAAATATTATATAAAAATATAAGCGCTTAAAAATACTTACAAGTTTTAAGAATATGTTACGAGCCTTACGATTCTGCTTAGAATTTAGGCATTAGTAACATTTATTAATGTATATGGAAAGGCACTTATTATGAGAGTTCATTTTGGGTAAATGCTATAAATCTATGGACAGAATTAAAAAAAATAATAGATCATTTTGAAAGAAATTTAATAAGCTTTAAGATAATGTTATGTAAAACTTAATTTAAATTCTATTTTTTTTTTAAAGTAAAAAAATGTTAAAAGTAAGTAAATCGCAAAGACAAAAAATGTTGTCCTCCTAATACGAGATGCCCCGAGAAATCGGTAATAAAACAGAGTACATCAATATTGATGTCAGCCGTATCTAGTATTGATTGTATTCTCACATATGCGGTCTAAAATAAAGTTTCTTAATATTGTTAATTATTATAATTTTACAGATTAGGTATGGTGAAATTATAACAAAATTTAATTACTTATCTAAAATTATAGCTGAACGGTGTGAAATACTCATTGTAAAGTTGATGAAAGAATAAAAATTTTGGTAAATATTCTGTTTAGGGGAGTCCTCTCCAATGACCTTGACCTTGCCATATGTTGTTAAGGTCATGATCATAAGTGACCTCCAACAAGTTTTAGCCGTCGCTCGTTATTCGTTAAAAAGTTATTAACAAAAAAATTTTGAAAAATAACGTTTTATTTCTGCCATATACAGTATTAAAAACTATCCTATATCTTTCCTTGTTTATGTAATCTCTGTGTACGCGAACACAAATTCACTACTTTAGCAGAAAATTTGTTTTTAATGCGAAGAATTTATGTGTTTAAAGCATTAAATTTATAAACTACGCAAAAAAATTAAAAGATCACTTAAGTCCACCTCAAAAATAGGTCAAAATTCAGAAGAATGTAACTTCGTAAAAAATGATCATAACGAGATTTTTAAAAAAGCATTTTA